CTCTCTGTGACAGGAGTTCGAGAGATACAATGTATCTCTCTTCTCCATTCATAGAGAGAGAGAGAAAACAAGGGGGCCGGGCTGCACAGTGATTGATCACTGTGATAGCCAATCAGAGGCTATCACAGCGATCACGTGACCCGGAATCGGGAGTCCCGGGTCCCGATCGTTAGAACGGGACCCGGGGCTCTCAGTGACACCGCGGTCTTGGTGCTGGGAGCACAAAGACAGGTACGCAAATATGCGGCCCCACGGAAAAAAGCCCAGGTCCGTGAGGCCGCATATTTGTGTTACGTCGGCGTGAAGGGGTTAAAGCGTATTTCCACTACTGGAGTCAAATTTAAGAAAATGCCACTCTAGGTTTGTTATATGTTTCCATCAACACTGCATACCTAAAAAAGGTGTTTTTTTAAAATATTTCCTACCTCTTAGAAGGTTCTCAGGAGTAGATATCATGGCTGACTAAAAGGTTTTTTGAACAACGTTAGAGCCAGTCCAGGTCTGTCCAACCACTTGCCCTTCAGAGGATTTACCCCCTTTCCTGACCAGGCCATTTTTTGCATTACGTTTTTTCATCTGTTTTTCATCCATTTACATTTGTTTACATCTGTTTACATCCGTGTTTTTGTCCGTTTACATCTATTTACATGTTTTTGTCTGTTTACATCCTTTCTTGTCAGTTTACATCCGTTTTTCTTCCTTTCTGGGGTTTTTTTAACAGAAGAAAAATAGGGTTTTCTTCCCTTCAAAAAAAACGGATGTTAACGGATGCGGACATTAAAGCAGAGTTCCACTCACCCTGTCAAAAAGGCACCACCTGCCTGGAGTTTGCATATTCTCCCTGTGCCTGTGTGGGTTTCCTCCAGGTACTCCAGTTTCCTCCCATACTTCAAAGACATGCTGGTAAGTTTAACTTGTCCAAATTGACCCTAGTATGTGTATGAATGAGATTTAGGGACTTTAGATTGTAAGCTCCTTGAGGGTTAGGTACTGATGTGAATGTACAGTATATGTATAAAGCGCTGCGTAAATTCATGGCAGTATATAAATTTGCAAGAAGTATGTGAACCCCTTGGGATTACGTGGAGTTTTACGTAATCCATTTGTAGACAGTCTGTCTTACCGTGGACACATGAACATCAAGGCTTTTGGAGATACTTTTGTAACCCTTTCCAGTCAACAATTCTTGATGGTAGGTCTTCTGAGAGCTCTTTTCTGCGAGGCATGGTTCACATCAGACAGTGCTTCTTGAAACCAGTAAACCAAAAACGTTGTGTGTATTTTAAGGGCAGGACAGCTGTCAGCAACACATCCAATATCATCACACTGGTTGGAGTCAAGGTTGGCTCACTCCTGGCTCCAATTAGCTCTGGGAGAAGTCATTAAGCTAGGGCCTCACATACTTTTTCCTCCCTGCACTGTGAATGTTTACATGTTATGTGCAATTAAACCATGGCAACATCTAATGTTTGTGTAGTATTATGTTCAGCAGACTGTGTGTTCTTCTATTGTTGTGACTTAGATGACGTTCAGAGCACATTTTATGCCCAATTCATGCAAAACTCCACGTAATCCCAAGGGGTTCACATACTTTTTCTTGCAACTGTATACTCACCAGCCACTCTATTAGGTCCTGCTAGTGCCAAGAAAATCTCCCCCACACCATGACACCGACACCACCACCACCACCAGCAGCCTGAACCCTTGATAGGAGGCAGGATGGATCCCTGCTTTCATGTTGTTTACGCCAAATTCTGACCCTACCATCTGAATGTCACAGCAACCAGTCTGCCCATTGACCTCTGACATCAACAAGGCATTTTCATCTACACATCCGCTGCTCACTGGATATTTTCTCTTTTTCGGACCATTCTCTGTAAATCCTAGAGATGGCTGTGCATGAAAATCCCAGCAGATCAGCAGTTTTTTAAATACTCAAACCAGCCCATCTGGCACCAACAACCATGCCACATTCCGAGTCACTTAAATCCCCTTTCTTCCCCATTCTGATGCTCGTTTTGAACTTCAGCAAGTTGTCTTCACCACATCTAGATGCCTAAATGCATTGAGTTGCTGCCATGTGATTGGCTGATTAGCAGTTTCTGTTCCCAAGCAATTTAACAGGTGTACCTAATAAAGTGGCCGGGGAGTGTATATTGTACATTCACATCGGTCCCTAACCCTCAAGGGGCGTACAATCGAAGGTCCCTAACACACATTCATACATACACATACTAGGGACAATTAACCTACCAACATGTATTTTGGAGTGTGGGAGAAAACCAGAGTACCTAGAGGAAACCCACACAGGCACAGGGAGAACATGCAACTCCAGACAGGTGGTGCCGTGGCTGGGATTCGAACCAACAACCTAAATGCATTGAGTTGCTGCCATGTGATTGGCTGATTAGCAATTTGTGTTACCAAGCAATAGAACAGGTGGACATAATAAAGTGGCCGGTGAGTGTAAGTACCTGTAATAAATATACAGGCTAAACAGGAAGTGAGAGGAAATCCCTGCAAATAAAAGGAATCGCTTGGGGCCACCGAGGCCACCAGGACTAGTGTCCTCATTGGAAGATTCCCCCTCTATTGCTTTTCTGGGGACAACACAAAATTTGGGATTTTCTTTTACTTTCACAGGACAAGTAGAGAGGGTGAATCTCCCTATTGGGGGCACAGACAGAACAAAAAAACCTGACAGGGGTGCTAATTCCTCTCCACTCTATCCGGAAAAAAAAAAGTTTGCCTTTAGTTATACTTTAAGCTGCCTGTGGATGGGATATGCCGTCTCCTGTATGCCTGTTTGTAAAGGGATTTCACGCTGAAATCCCTCTTCACCATGCCAATGCCATGTCCACTGAACATGGTTATGCTGTAGTACGGGAACCAGGGGTGTATTTACCACAAGTCAAACAAGGCATTTGCCTAGGGCAGCATTTTTCAGAGGGGCAGCCTCCCCCAGGAAAAAGGGACATATGCGGCATGGGAACCAGGTGGGATCCAAAAGAGGCTGTGGGCTGTTTGATGGTGTATGCAGAGCCCAACTCTCGTCCTGAGGGATGTCTGGAGCTGTGAAGGTGAGTGAGTGTGTGTTAGTGGAAGGTTCTCTCGGGTGGGGGCAGGGGTGTTATTGGTCACTGTCGGGCTCTGTCCAGGGGGGGTAGGGGGTCTGATGTTGGTCGGTGTCAGGCTCTCTCCGCCGGGGTGGGGGGGCGTCTGATTTTTGTGCTGCCTAGGGCAGCAAAAAACCTAAATACACCACTGATGGGAATTGGTGTCAAGCGGTATTGCCTATGGATTTTGACATGCCCTAATTTTTTTGCCAGCCTCACAGTTGCACCAGCATGCACGATGGGGCTATTACCTGGTTAAAAACATGCCTCAACAGCCTGGTTTTGTCAAGTGACATTCTTTGCAGTCTTGAACAGTATATTAAATGTATTAAATATATAAATCCTGAAAGGTGTTTATTTAGCTCACTCTCAGACACCACCAGATTTGATCATACATAATGCCATGATATATTAAAATGGGAGCTGCTATTATTAACCAACTATAACTTATAATCAAAAATGTGATAAATTAAATACAAATTTAACCACAAATAATAGCGCTACCCTCAAACATATAAATAATAATAAATAAATCCACCACCACATATGTGCATTGATTAAAATAAAATAGAAGTACCGTATTTTTCGCTCCATAAGACGCACCTAGGTTTTAGAGGTGAAAAACAAGAAAAAAAATATTCTGAACCAATGGACTGCAGACATAGTACAGGAGATGACCAGAGACTGCGGACACAGTACAGGAGATGACCAGAGACTGCGGACATAGTACAGGAGATGACCAGAGACTGCAGACAGTGCAGGGGATGACCAGAGACTGCGGACACAGTACAGGAGATGACCAGAGACTGCGGACACAGTACAGGGGATGACCAGAGACTGCGGACAGTACAGGAGATGACCAGAGACTGCGGACAGTACAGGAGATGACCAGAGACTGCGGGACACAGTACAGGAGATGACCAGAGACTGCGGACACAATACAGAAGATGACCAGAGACTGCGGGACATGGTACAGGAGATGACCAGAGACTGCGGACACAGTACAGGGGATGACCAGAGACTGCGGACACAGTACAGGGGATGACCAGAGACTGCGGACACAGTACAGGGGATGACCAGAGACTGCGGACACAGTACAGGAGATGACCAGAGACTGCGGACACAATACAGAAGATGACCAGAGACTGCGGACATGGTACAGGAGATGACCAGAGACTGCGGACACAGTACAGGGGATGACCAGAGACTGCGGACACAGTACAGGAGATGACCAGAGACTGCGGACACAGTACAGGGGATGACCAGAGACTGCGGACAGTACAGGAGATGACCAGAGACTGCGGACAGTACATGAGATGACCAGAGACTGCGGACACAGTACAGGAGATGACCAGAGACTGCGGACACAATACAGATGAGATGACCAGAGACTGCGGACAGTACAGGAGATGACCAGAGACTGCGGACACAGTACAGGGGATGACCAGAGACTGCGGACACAGTACACAGTACAGATGACCAGAGACTGCGGACACAGTACAATGACCAGAGACTGCGGACACAGTACAGGGATGACCAGAGATGCGGACACAGTACAGGGATGACCAGAGACTGCGGACACAGTATGACCAGAGACTGCGGACACAGTACAGATACCAGAGAGACTGCGGACACAGTACAGGAGATGACCAGAGACTGCGGACACAGTACAGGAGATGACCAGAGACTGCGGACACAGTACAGGGGATGACCAGAGACTGCGGACACAGTACAGGGATGACCAGAGACTGCGGACACAGTACAGGAGATGACCAGAGACTGCGGACACAGTACAGGAGATGACCAGAGACTGCGGACACAGTACAGGAGATGACCAGAGACTGCGGACACAGTACAGGAGATGACCAGAGACTGCGGACACAGTACAGGGGATGACCAGAGACTGCGGACACAGTACAGGAGATGACCAGAGACTGCGGACACAGTACAGGAGATGACCAGAGACTGCGGAACACAGTACAGGAGATGACCAGAGACTGCGGACACAGTACAGGAGATGACCAGAGACTGCGGACACAGTACAGGAAATGACCAGAGACTGCGGACACAGTACAGGAAATGACCAGAGACTGCGGACACAGTACAGGAGATGACCAGAGACTGCGGACACAGTACAGGGATGAGACTACAGTACAGGAGATGACCAGAGACTGCGGACACAGTACAGGAGATGACCAGAGACTGCGGACACAGTACAGGAGATGACCAGAGACTGCGGACACAGTACAGGAGATGACCAGAGACTGCGGACACAGTACAGATGACCAGAGAGCACACATGACCAGAGACTGCGGACACAGTACAGGAGATGACCAGAGACTGCGGACACAGTACAGGGGAATGACAGAGACTGCGGACACAGTACAGGAGATGACCAGAGACTGCGGACCAGAGACTGCGGACACAGTACAGGAGATGACCAGAGACTGCGGACACAGAGGAATGACCAGAGACTGACAGTACAGGAGATGACCAGAGACTGCGGACACAGTACAGGAGATGACCAGAGACTGCGGACACAGTACAGGAGAAGGGCCAGAGACTGCGGACACAGTACAGGAGATGACCAGAGACTGCGGACACAGTACAGGAGATGACCAGAGACTGCGGACACAGTAAAGGAGATGACCAGAGACTGCGGGCATAGTACAGGAGAAAGACCAGAGGCTGTGGACACAGTACAGGAGATGACCAGAGACTGCGGACACAGTACAGGAGATGACCAGAGACTGCGGACACAGGGTACAGGAGAAGGACCAGAGACTGCGAGACATGGTACAGGAGATGACCAGAGACTGCGGACACGGTACAGGAGATGACCAGAGACTGCGGACACGGTACAGGAGATGACCAGAGACTGCAGACATGGTACAGAGAGAGAGGACCAGAGACTGCGGACATACTACAGGAGATGACCAGAGACTGCGGACACGGTACAGGAGGTGACCAGAGACTGTGGACAGTACAGATGACCAGAGACTGCAGACAGTACAGGGGATGACCAGAGACTGCAGACAGTACAGGGCATGACCAGACACTGCGGACCTTTAGGGAGGGAGGGGGAGCGGGTACCTGAATTTGACACTTCCACTTCCTCGGAGCTCTCCTTCCTATACTGTGGGCATCCGACTTTGACAGCCGGGTGCCCACTGCGCATGCGCGAGAAGCGCTGCGCTTTGTGAATGGCCCCTTCGTCTCCTGGGACCTGTCATGTGTCCCAGAAGATGCCGAGCCATTCACAAAGCGCAGCGCTTCTCGTGCATGCGCAGTGGGCACCCGGCTGTCACAGATACCGGGGCGGGAAGAAGCCGGCGTGGGAAGACTACAGCGCTGGACCGAGGAACAGGTGAGTTCCTGCCGCAGAGAACAGCTGAGTGGCCGGCCCGGTATTCTGACATGGTGGCAGCGGAAATAGCGGACCAGCCGCTTTACATTCGCTCCATAAGACGCACTGACATTTTCCCCCCTTTTATGGGGGGAAAAAAGTGCGTCTTATGGAGCGAAAAATACGGTAAGTATATTACATTTATTACTGACCTATGTTGTAATTTTATTCTGATGTATATCTGTTTAATGTATTAAAGACTGTACTGCGGTTGAAACTTCTCTCCCCTGAGGAAGCCCTTGTCGGGCGAAACATGTAGGGAAAATGTAGTCCTCCAAACTGCAGTAACAGTGTCAAGCTCCTATTTTTGCCTCTATAGTATTGTATCAATTCATTTTATACAGTGATTAACAAAAGTTGTTAAAATCTTTTTAATATCTGTTTTGTATCGTTGTATTTTTGCACCTTGAAAATCCCACACTCCTCAGCTCTATATTTTCAACTTATGGGGATGCCATTTGTATATCTTGTCATTCACTTGTCATTTCTCTTTTCTATCATACAGACATTATGCCACGTGTAAGGGGCCTTAGTTATTTGTCAGCTTTTGGAAGATTCCCTCAATTTCAGCTCCAGCGACTATGGTCATCAGGACAAACAGAGGGGGTGAATCTCCACATTGTGGACACAGGCAGCAATAAAAGCTTGACAGAAGTTCTAATCCTTCAACACTCCACTTTAGATACACTTTAACTCTTTGTGGTGTTCTTTTTAGATAAGGCTGGCAATGGGAAATACTTGTGGCTGTAATCTCAGAAAATTTGTTTGAATGTGAGTATCCACTTCCGGACTATTCTATAGCAGATGTAATGCTACAGGGCGGTCACTTTGTGCAAAATCATGTGTGTATGTGTATATATATATATATATATATATATATATATATATATATATATATACAGTTGTGTTCAAAATAATAGCAGTGTGTTGAAAAAAGTGAATAAAGCTCAAAATCCTTCTAAAAGCTTTTATTTCCATCCACACAAATGCATTGGGAACACGACACATTCTATTCCAAATCAAAACATAAAGAAAAATATATCAAATTTGTGTTGTTCCTCTAAAAAAATTGAAGAAAAGTGAATATTAGACGGTTCAAAAAAATCGCAGTGTTTGTATTCTTCTTTACAAACTCAAACATTCACTATATAGACTGAGAAATGTTTGAAGATTTTGCTTTCCTTTGAATGACTTCATGAATATTTGGTTGTAGTCGCACTGTTTCTGAGAACTGCTGTACATCCGTGTTGCATGGAGTCAACCAACTTCTGGCCCCTGTGATCAGGTATTCCAGCCCAGGATGATTGGACGACATTCCACAGTTCTTCTCTATTTCTTGGTTTTGCCTCAGAAACGGCATTTTTGATGTCACCCCACAAGTTTTCTATTGGATTAAGATCCGGGGATTGGGCTGGCCACTCCATAACGTCAATCTTGTTGGTCTGGAACCAAGATGTTACACGTTTACTGGTGTGTTTGGGGTCGTTGTCTTGTTGGAACACCCATTTCAAGGGCATTTCCTTGTCAGCATAAGGCAGCATGACCTCTTCAAGTATTCTGATGTATTCAAACTGATCCATGATCCCTGGTATGCGATAAATAGGCCCAACACCGTAGTATGAGAAACATCCCCATATCATGATTCTTGCACCACCATGCTTCACTGTCTTCACAGTGTACTGTGGCTTGAATTCAGTGTTTGGGGGTCGTCTGATAAACTGTCTCCGCCCACTAGACCCAAAAAGAACAATCTTACTTTCATCAGTCCACAAAATGTTGCACCATTTCTCTTTCGGCCAGTCAATGTGCTCTTTGGCAGATTGTAACCTCTTCAGCACACATCTTTTTTCCAACAGTGGGACTTTGCGGGGACTTCTTGCAGATAGCTTGGCTTCACATAGGCGTCTTCTAATTGTAACAGTCCTCACAGGGAACGTCACACCTTCTTTCATCTTCCTGGAGCTGATTGTTCGCTGAGTCCGTGCCATTTTGGCTATTCTTCTATCCATTCCAATGGTAGTTTTTTTCGCTTTTCTTCCACGTCTTTCAGGTTTTGGTTGTCATTTTAAAGCGTTTTTGATCATTTGAGCTGAGCAGCCGATCATTTTTTGCACTTCTTTATATGTTTTCCCCTCTCCAATCAACTTTTTAATCAAGGTACGCTGTTCTTCTGAACAATGTCTGGAACGACCCATTTTCCTCAGAATTTCAGAGAGAAATGCACTGTAACCAGCATGTACAACATTTGCTGCCTTCCTTCCTTAAATAAGGGCAATAATTGCCACCTGTTTTTCAAAGAATGAATGACCTCACTAATAGAACTCCACACTGCTATTATTTTGAACACGCCCCTTTCAATGAGTGATTCAATTACACAGAATCAGCAGCATGCATGTCATGACTGTTGGGTCTGTTGGATTTCTATTTCTCTACTACACCTGCTAGTAAATTATTTGCCATGTAGAAATATCATTTCCACCAAAAACAGTGATTGATCCGGTTAGTGATGTCTGACTGCTATTATTTTGAACACAACTGTATGTGATTTTGTACTTACTGCATGCCGTTTCTGCTGTAAGTCATCACAGCAGAAGCCGATCAACGGGTGCTGGCCAATGGATGAGCGGCGAAGAGAGAGATACAGGACACAGGGCAAAGCTGTGTCCTGTCAGCGGCGATAGGCTGGATTTTCTTTCCCTGCCAAGCAGGGAATAAAATCCAGCAAATTGCCTAGTAAAAACACCTGAAATGTACACACAATAACACTGCTTAGGCACACAGTTAACCCTTTGATCACCCTAGATGTTTAAACCCCTTCCCTGCCAGTGTCATTAATACAGTGGCAGTGTATATTTTTAGCACTGAATACTGTATTAGTGTCACTGGTTCTCACAAAGTGTCAGTGTCAGACTTTCACCGCAATATTGCAGTCCCGCTATAAGTTGCTGATCGCCGCCATTACTAGTAAAAAACAATTTTTAATTCCAGTATATATACACCATAGTTTGTAGACACTACAGCTTTTGTGGCAAGCTAATCAATATATGCTTATTGGGATTTTATTTTTACCAAAAATATTTAGCAGAATACATATTGGCCTAAATTCATGAAGAAACCAGATTGTTTTATAATTTTTAATTTGGATATGTTTTATAGCAGAAAGCAAAAAATACAGTTTTTTTTTTTTTCTGTTGATGGCTCAAAAAATAAAAACACAGAGCTAATCAAATACCAGCAAAAGAAAGCTTTATTTGGGGCAAAAAATGAGATGTAGCTGAATATATTTTGGCCCAAATTTATGCCGAAATTTGATTTTTGAACTTTACCAGACATGTTTAATAGCAAAATGTCAAAAAATATTGTTTTGTTTTTTTTCTCAAAATTGTCGGTCTATTTTTTTTTATATGGCGCAAAAAAAAAAATGCACAGGCGATCAAATACCACCGAAAGAAAGCTCTATTCATGGGGAAAAAAAAGCCGTAAACATCATTTTGGTGCAGCTTTGCATGATCGCGCAATTTTCAGTTAAAGTAACGCAGTGCCATATAGCAAAAATTGCCTGGTCAGGAAGGGGGGGGGGGGGTAAATCTTTCAGAAGGCAAGTGGTTATTGGTCCAGTTTAAGTAAGGAGATCCAGTAGATGGCACTTGGGTAACTCCTTATATATGGCTGTCACTGATGTGCATTGTTTTGCATTAGCCATCCATTGAACGAAGGCGGATCTACAGTACTCCACAGTGTAGCGTCATGTACAAAGGAAAGAAGAACCAGATGTAGAAATTCCGACTGCTTGGACTGTGTGGAAACTCTATGACCCAGGGATATAAAAAGAGACCATTTGTTTTCCATGTAACTGATGTGGTTTGTATGTCATTATGTAAAACACTCCAGAAACTTTACTAATCTGTTTGGCAGCGTGAAATATTGGGGTCAAAAGCTAAATGTTAATGGG